TAATGCCTCCTGGAAGAAAGGAACCCAGGCGTGAACCAGCCTGACAGCCTGACGCTGGCGGACAGACAGGGGTGGCCCTGCAGGATGTCAGAGCGCCAGGAGGCTGCAAGAGATACTGGGGTTTCACACACTTCCAGGCTGACTGTTTTGCTCTTCAGGTAATTAAACAAGGAAGCCGGGCTGCTGGGTAACAGCCTGACCCTGAAGCCTTGGCTCCATGGTTCTGCATATCAACTTCCGCAAGAACTGCCTGGAGCATCAATAGAATGGCCTCTGTTCATTCTCCAGCATTTCCTTTCTCCACCTCTTTCAAAATCTGGCCCAGAAATAATTCCTGCTGCCTACAAAAACATCCATGCATGGATCTGAACTTATCGCTAAGAAAGGTCTCTTGCCACTCCCAGACTTTACCCTGCAAATTTGGAAAGGAAATTCCCCAAATCACAGAACTTTGGTAGAGATTCACATATAGCAAACTCAGGTCACACAGCAGTGTCTTCATGGGTTAAAGAAAAGCACTACTACAATGTTTTAATGTATGCTGAATTAAAAGGTGAATCTTCAAATTCAGTAAATGCTCCTAAAAAAAAAATGGTTTCTGATAGCCTATCTCACCGAATAGTAATACTTGTAGTAGTAGCTCATATAATTGTTTCATTTTGATAATTGTCATTAATACTAGGAATTAATAACTACAATTTGATTTCACTAAGAATCCTATTTAAACAAAATAATTATATTTTATTTATACAATCAGCACTGAGGGTCATGAAGGTGCAAAAAATATCTCCTAAAAGATAAGAAAGTCACACTGTATGTTTGTGTGCCTATCAAGCAATGCAATGATTAGGCATCATACACACAATATAGTCTTCCTTCCTTTCAAAATCCACAGAGCAAAATATTGGCTGTAAGAGACAGAGACCAAAAGAGGGAAGAACACAAAAGCATGCCTGCTTGTCTGTGTTCAACACAAAGAACATTAAATGAAAACAACTGGCACGCTGCCAAATTCCTATAGAGGCAAAGAGATTCAAATAAATTGATTTCACGCATCACACTGACCTGGGATCAGTGTGCAATGCTACAATAAGCTCAAAGCTCCATGTGGGGCAGAGCCCATTAATGCTATCATACCTTCAAACATGGGGGGAGGGAACTAAAATAAAATAAATACAAGCTCTGTTTAAAAAAAGCAATTTTACTTCAGGAATGAACTTTCCTATTTTGCTACTAATGCTCAAAGGTGTGTAAGGCATTGTTGATAAGGCATTATCCTTTGCTAAAACAAATATGGTTCTGGAATCTATGCAAGACATAAAACTGGTACTACCTAAATATCCCATTCCATATTCGGGAATATTAAACACGTGGCACTCTGCATTTCCTGTCACTCTTTCCTGTCATGATCCTGAAAGCCAAGAGATTTGTTGTTTTTAATATACCAAATACTGTAATAGACCCATGTCCAAAGTGTCCATAAGAGCTTGTAAGAGCAAGTTTCTCAGGCAAAATACCACTCCCAGTGGCTCCAAACCCATGCAGACCTCACAAGGACACCTACTAAGAAAGAACAGCTCCACAGGAATCCTAGAGAAGCAAGCACTAGGTGTGTGCTTGCTGGGGATGGGTGTGTGAGTGCTAGGGATGCTCCAGGACTCCCGAGAGGGACCTAGGGTTGTGGTTCAGTGGTCCAGTGGGAGTTTATCATGCCTATGGCCCTGTGGTTCACTCTGAGCACCAAAAGAAACCATAAAACAAAACAGAAAACCACTAGAAGTGAAACACAGCCGCGTTTTCACTTCCCCAACTTCCCCTTGGCTGGCGGTGTGCCTCTGGGCTGTTTGCCTGCCTCAAAGTCCCCACACAAACCAGACTCTGGCGCCTCCTCAGGCTGTTCTCACTCACAGCGCCAGCTTTTCAGCTGGTAATTCTTTGCTTTGTCTGCTTCCAAATTACAACTCCAGGAACCCAATGGATTCCAGGTGCTTGCAAATGCAAAGTGTGTGCGTTTTGTTGTTCTTCTTGGCTTCTTGGGTGAACACAATTCTCAAGCTCGTATTTCTATACAGCTATTACTATCACTAGGAGGAAGAAATAACTAGGAATACATTTTAACACAACATGAAAAACAAAGGAAACCTGAAAGTTTTAAAGCATGTTGTTCACACACACACACACACACACACACACACACACACACACACTCACTCACACACGGAAAGAAAGCTAGGGAGAGAGGAAATTCTGCATTCAATCTGCTACATGATTCTGGGGGCTCACGATTTGCATATTACAGCAAACAGACATACTAAGGTGTATGAAGGAGTATATCCCTGTACTATTATTCCTCTCAGTAGGCTTTTCCACCCTGAAACAATTCAGTACAGTCATACCACAGATGTATTCCATTTGGCCAGAAGGGAATTGATGTCTGTGGGATGGGGTGAGTAGAGAAGATAATTTTATGTATCTACAGTGTGTGCTCAACTTTTTAAATCCAATATCTTCTTCAATATTTAAGTACCACTTTAGATATGTTGACCATATAATCTGAACCCCTATAGAGATAACAAGGCAAAGTGCTGAGTTCTGTTCTGTTCTCATGTAGGGACTCTGTTGAGATGCTAAAACAAAGAAAACAATTCTAAATCAGGGATGGGTGTCCTCATTACTTTGTTTCCTTTGAGTTACCATATCAACACCTTTCTTCTCTGTGCAAGACCCTAGAAGTCTAATCAACCAAGATTAGAATTGTCAAAATTAATGTTTAATAATTGGAGTCCATAGTTGGGAAAGAAATAGAAGCAAATGTGGGAGACATCTCATCTAGGTAACACAATCGCATCCCTTGTCTTTTCCTTTGCATTGGTATCTCTCACTAGTCACACAGAAAGACAGAAATAAATGGAGGGATGAAGGAAAAAAATACAGATTCAGACACCAAATTGCAGAACTTTCCCCGGAAGGATGTACAATTCCACAGGGAATTATTTCATTTTCTGTGTTCTGAAATAGACACTCATTTACTGACACTTTCCTGGGAACTTTAAACCAGTAAATGAGATCCCTATGTAGGACACACCTATCATCCTGCCACTTGGGAAGTGGCAACAGGAGGGTCAAATGTTCAAAGTCACTCTTGGCTAGGCTGTCTCAAACAACAAATAAACCACAACAAAAAAATAACACACCAGCAAATGTTTTGAGGAATTAGGGACTGCAGGGAGCTCAGACTATGGGACAGGGGCCAGCAGGGGTGTTTCCAAAGCAATGGCCAGGGAAGCTGAGTATTTTGCCATTGCTCTTTGCATGAAGTCAGGCAGTCACACCGTGCCAACCAGCAGCATCACACAACATTTGTGCTGGATTTCAGCTTCCTCTTAGCACAGCTTTTTCTCATGAGTGCAGCCATGAACCCAGTCCATGCCCAGCATAACCTAAAGCAGAGCTCTTTCGACAGGGTCATTAACACCCCACCCATGGCTCAGAGCAGATATTCAAAAGCTGATCATTAAGTGGCAATATACACATAGTTTTTACTTGGTGTTTTCCTAATGCTAGACATCCCTTTTTTTGTTTGTTTGTTTTAATGTGTCTACAGATTATGAATTCTGCTCAGGAAGTGATGGTCATCTCAAAGTCTGTTAGTTTGTTTTTTTTAAATCAAAATCCATCAGAAGAAATCATCACCTGAAAATGACTTGTTGGCTTGTTTAGTCAACAAGCTGGGAAAACACCATTTCCTCTTTGCAATAAACACAAAAATCATGACATAGTTTTTACTCTTCCAAGTACTGCTCAGTTTCTAACAAATGTGCGATGAAACGTAGCAAGAAACAGAAAGAGAAAAAAAAAACCTGATAATTGATCATTTGATATCTTTAGGTCCAAAACTATTAAGCACAATTCCCTTGGGCATATAGATCCCCACCCAAACCCACACCCAGAGATTCCACACACAGTGGTTAAATACGCAAATACAATCAACAGGTGCTAGAATAAGAAAGAGACAATCTTCACAAGTATAACTTATTGGGAGAAAACAATAGTGATTTTCTGACACATAAAGTAAACGGCAAAAATCAAAATATGTATCTGTTCCTTACCTTGACAATATTCAAAGTTGCCCTTTTTCCGGCAGTCACCTATCACTACACTCAGCGCTCTCCAAGTGTTTCTTTTGACAGATATCATTCTCCACCAAGTGCTCTGCTAATTTCCTCTGCTGTCCTCACTGGGACACAGATAAGTTCACCAGCCCACAGATCAATCTTTTCTATTGACAACAACAAAGGGGAAAAAAAATGCACACATCACAACCAGGCTAAAGCATTCCGCCCATCTATTTACATGATAAACCAGGCCAGCTTTGTGTTTGTTTAAGAAACAGATACATGTTCTTCTGTATTGTGGTAGAATTCCAAACACTTCCCATTTCCTCGGTTCCTGGAGAGGTGTTCTAGGAGACTATGAAGCTGCCAGTCATCTGTCTCAAAGGTAGAAACCTTCTGAACTCCAGAGCTCTTAAAATTGATTTTAAAGTACACATCCACCAATACCTTAAGAGGGAATATCACACTTTACCCATTTCAAAAGTACATAAATAATTGGTAAGACATAGTCTCTTTTGAACACTCTTTGGACAGTATATGTTTTATTTTTTTAAATAAAATAAAATAGCTCTTTCATTTTTTTCTTCATTTTTTTAAATTTAAATTAGAAACAAGATTGTTTTACATGTCAATTATGCTCTTTCAAAACAAAGTACCCATACTCTCTCCTTCCTCTGAAACCTCAACATTGTCATTATTAGCTACAATAGTTGCTAACATGGAATGATCATCAAGAATAAACTTTATATAATTGG